ATGGCCATTTTACAAACTGTTACCTTGACACATTCTCAAATTGCCACACGGGAGCTCAACCCAGTCAACAGCATGTAACAGCTGGGCAATTAAGAGGGACGGAGACTTATGGTGCGTTCACACCGGACGCGATGCCATGTTTGGGGGCGGCGCGATTACATGTAAAGTCAATGCAGAGACGCGGACAGACGCAAATTCGCTCCGACGGCGCGATTGAAGCGATTGAACGGTGCCGCCTCAAACGCGAGAGTTCAATTTTTTCAACTCGAGCGTCAAATTCACGTGGCGCGTTCTCGCAGAAGCCAATCAGCGGTGAGGATCTCAGCCTGCCGTCACTGACGTTCAACCAGAAAACATCAGCCGTTAGCCGTTGGCTGTTAGCAGTTAGCACACAGAGCTCACAGCTCCTCATATCTGTTCAGAAACTGGACATAAGTTAAACAAGTACAAACCACAGACTGTCTGTGCCATGGTGAATACAGTCGCTGGTTTATTTATGTCTGTAGGCCGTTGTTATGAGTATGGAATGAGCATATACAACGTTAGCTTAGCCTGGTCGACCCGATCTTCATTCAGAAAACAAGCATTTTAAAAGGTTTTTTGCCTGCCGTCTTGTCTGCAGACTTGTCAAAGCATTAATTCATAGTTTTTACTAACCGGTATCAGTATGTTGTTACTTCGGCATCATTTAGAAACGTGTATTACAATTTAATCACGGTAAAATATGTTCATTTTGTTGTAGTTGTAGCTCCCGAGCCAGCGCGTCTTGTTTGAATGATGCGAGTAAACACAGCTGGCAGCCGCGGTGAAACTCGAGCGTTTAGAGCGATGCGATAGGAGCGATTAGAGCGAAGCGAATATTCGCATTGAGCGGAAACACTCTCTTCACTAGCGCTGTAGCAAGTTAACTTTGAGCGAGAGCACTCAGTTAACTGGAGGATGGATGCACTTTATATGTCGTTGCCACTCTTTGCATATCATGTATTTTGTTTTTTACCATGTTTGTAAAATGTAATTTCCTTAAATGTTTTATGGAAAGTAGCTCAAAGCTAAATCTGGCACTGTTATGCTTGACACATTTAAATGTTTTAAGTGTTCATTACAGTGCATTGTCCCTGTCAAATAAACGATTAAATAAAATAACCAATTGTGCGCCGTGAGAGGGGAGCGAAGACACTCTCCTCACTAGCGCTGTAGCAAGTTAGCTTTGAGCGAGAGCACTCAGCTAACTGGAGGATAGAACAGGAACTAATTGTGAGCTGTGAGAGGGGAGCGAAGACACTCTTCACTAGCGCCGTAACAGTTAGCTTGAACGAAAACACTCAGCTAACTGGACGATAGAACAGGTAAGGAAACAAATGTATGCGGTGAGAGGGGGGCGGAGACGCGCCGTAACAGTTAGCTTGAACGAAAACACTCAGCTAACTGGACGATAGAACAGGCAAGGAACCAAATGTATGCAGTGAAAGGGGGGCGGAGACGCTCCCTTCACTAGCGCAGTAACAAATTAGCAAGAGCCCTCGGCTAACTTGTACACAATTATCTCATTAGCTTGAGAATAGGTAGCACAATCAGCGATAAATGGTAGCGATCTCACCGGCTGACGTGCAGGAGCGTCCGCTCTTTACCGGTCCGGAGCTCCTGGGGTCCGAGCGGTGAACACCGCGGTCCCCTCCCTTGGGAGGGCGGACAGCTCGTTGCAGCCTTTGGAGGGCGAGTGTTTTTCTAGCCCGCAGCTCCGATCGAGACGATCGCAAGGCTACAGGTAGCGATGAGCTAGAATCGAATTTTCAATAAGCTAGCTTGGCTTCTACTCAAAAAGTAGTAACCTGCGCAGCGAGAAGATGAAAAAGAACTGAACTCGTTGACAACACCGGAACTTATGCCTTCCGGGGTCATACGAGGTCACACGTGACTTTGTTGATATAAATATTCGACCTACGCATGCGCGAGACAGAAGATATCCAGTGCTAAAGCACCGCCTCTGGCGGTCAGTAAGGATGAAATAGAACAAGGCTCTGGTCTCTAACCCTTTGGGAACATGACTCTTTTTGAACTTGTTCAGCAGAATAAACTGATTTTTTTACTTCATACAATATCACATCATCATTTTATTTCGGCAACATTGAAATTGCAGATTTCTAATGACCTGGAGTTATAGGTAACTTGTTGTTCCTGGTTCCACATGTGTCCCACATTGTTCCGACTCAGATACAAACTGTAGTGCTAGCAGTGCTCAACAGAAATGGCTGAACTCAAGTTACGGCTTCTCAGTTGTAGCACTCAACAAGCTTAACTACCCATGGTGCATTTATTGTTCTGTATCGTGTCTGTCCGATGATCAGGAGCTGCTGGCTGTTGTGATTTGCATTTCAGAAGGCAAACTTCAGGAACACCAGCAGATAAAGTTTGAACTCCCCACATCCATTTCAGTCACATCTGAAAGGGCCTTTGTTGTCACATGTGTGGCCTATTGTGTATGTAAAAAGCAGAAAGCCTTTTGTGTAGCTTTCAACAAACACTGAGGAGGATTCATGGACCACGCATGTAGCCCGGCCCCATACTCAACGGTTAACCTGGACTACGTTACTTCTGTGGTTCATCACTGTGCAGAGTGAGACGGTTGGACAGATTGTGACAGTCATTTCTGGAACTGTTTAAAACTTAAAAACCTTACTATTATCCTAAGTCCAACTTTGGTGGCCTCTTAAACTTGAACTTTTTAAATATAATTTGAATCTATAGTAAAACCACGTTGCTCTGAATGTCATATAATGAGCAAACTGTCGGCCTGGAGAGGATCATTAATCGGCCCTCAAATCTAATATTCACATAAATATTTATTTACTCCGTCTGCCAAGCCTCTCCTTTGGCCTCTCATGGATAGGAATATTGGATAACTGGAATCATCCTCAATAGTTTGTCATGTTATTTTTTTAGAAGAGGGCAAAATAAATACTTCCCACGTCAAAGTTTGATCATATCTGAACACTGTCAAGGTTGGGGAAAATAGGACCCAAGTGCAGTAAAAGAATACAAAAAGGTTTGGTTAACAAAAAGGTTTGGTAACAAAAAGCGAGCTTTATTCCAAAAAAAGCCGAAGACATGAAAAACAAGAAACTAATTAACAAAAACAAAACTGGGGAGCACGACAGACAGGAACAAACTTACAGGCGGGAACAGGCAGGAGACATGGACTAGCAAAGACGAGCATAGGCGAGGCAGGGAACAAGGACAAGGTATCATGGACATGGAAAGACGACGAACAGACATGGAGCACAGGGGAAATACAAGACTAAATACACAGAAGGGTAATCACAGGACAAGACACAGCTGGGCAGGGGAGGGGAGGCAGAAACACAAGGGCAACAGGTGAACACAATCAGACAGACACACCAGGGAAACTAACGACAGGAAGGCAAACACAGGAAGTAGGACGAGACAAGACACAAGGAGGAAAACATTTCAAAATAAAAAAGGTGGAAAATGAAAACAACAAATCCAAAACCATGACAAACAGTGCTTCCCAACCTGGGGTTCAAGTCCCCTAGATCTCCAAAGCGCTTTAGGGGGGGTCCAAAGGCCTTCTTGAATTGAAAGGATGAACAACTTTAAATAAAAAAATATATACATATTTAAGTGTTCAGCAGTCTCTGGAAGCTTTTTAAAAGTGTTCGTGCTCTTTCAGCGTTAGTGTGATGAAGGGCTGAAAGAGGGCACGTTTATTTTCCTTGCACAAAAATGGAAAGTAACAGTAACGGTCTCTGTATACCTGAACTCTGACTCATTGATTGTAGTTACCATGTTGTTATGAAAAGGAAGAGATAAAGGACATGAGGATACATTACAGACTGTGCGATAAACACATATCGCAATGTGCAATATAGACACTTGATTCACATCGTGAGGTGACACAGAATCGATGGGTACCCTCATTATCACTGAATTATACGAATTTGCGATGTTATAAACAAAAACAGACATCAAAACAGGTGACGCTAGGTAGCTAAAAATGCTAACATGGTTACCTTGTCTCTAGTCTCTCCAAAGTGGTCTTCAATGGCATTAAAACGATAAAAACGCTGCTGAAGTTAATCCATAGGTTAATCCAATGTGTCTGTGTCCCTTTGAAATGATTTCTGATAATCCATGAGCAAACAGACGGATAATCCATGCTTTTCCGTTTCTAGATGTCAGAGCTAGACTGTAGCTTCACTCTAATGCAAAATTACATGCGCAAAGCCCCCACCTTTTTGTTTCACAATGAGTGTGTGTGGGGGACTCCCCCTTCTATTCTATTGGCTCTAACGGTCAGAAAGAGGTGTCAACCATCAAAATCGATGGGTTCCAGAGATATGAAAAAAAAACAATTTGCACCCAAATCACCTCAGAGGTGGAGTGTTTTTGGCTAAATCTCTCTAAAAAGGTCAAATGTCACTTGTTTTGTATCAATCTTGATACAGGGTACTTATTATATGTTGTACTTTGGATTCCTAAAGCTTTTAGTCTACCTTACCATCTTCCAAGGGTAGTTTTCACTATAAGTAAAAAAGAATTTTTGGACGGACACTATAATTTACAGTTTTTTACTATGTAAAATCTGAATTTTCTTTAAAATAAAAAACATCTCGATTGATTCTGACTTTTCTACATCCAACTCACAGGTTTATCATTACTTTGAGAAAAAAGATTATTAATTTAACCCTTTTAGAAGGGAAGATATGGTCATTTGTTCTGGGAATGTCATTTTCGAGCCTGAGACCTGAAAAACAGGCTCAGGGCTTAAGAGGTTAATGTCTCAACACCTAATAAGTTGCCTGTCTCATTAAGTTATTTGTCTTTATTTTTATTCTATTATACCTAATGTGTGCTTTTCTTCTCTATATTTAATTAGTTAAGCTTATTGTTTATTATTGCATGCCCTTGTTTACCTGCTTTGCCACTTTTTGCTGTAACACTGTACATTTTTGTCCCCTCTTCATTTCTTTCTCCTTCCTCAGATTTAATTCAGTGCACAAATGAGATGAATGTGAACATCCCTCAGCTGGCTGACACCCTGTTCGAGAGGACCACCAACACCAGCTGGGTTGTGGTGTTCAAGTCCCTCACCGCCACACACCATCTGATGGTCTACGGCAATGAGGTCAGCACCTACAGCTGTTCTCCACATTTCCTGAATTGGATGGAAATAAACTGTATTTTCATTTTACAGTGTATGAGATTATTATTATCTCAAAGTATCATGCTACATGCTCTAGTTAACAGAGTGACACTCTTCATTGCTTAACAGTTATATAACTACAGTGGCTGAGAAGTTCAAACGAGAATTACAAAGTGTGAAACACTTCAACAAAGCTTGAGACAAATTTACATTTTATAAAACAAAATTACATTAGCGAAACACTTTTACAAGAACTGAGACAAATTCACAAGTCCCGAAACACTTTAACATTTGCCGAAACACTTTATTAACAAACTAGAGAATCAAACCGGAAAGGGAATGTCCATCATACCGGAAGTGACGTGCAAGTGATTGAGACAAACTTAAGTTTGTTTTGGCGGAAAGACCACCTGTACCTATGGACGGTATAAGTGTGTTTATGGTCGTTAAACATGTTTGGTCCGTTTTGTGGAAACCACCTGGGCCAAGTGACACGGTTTTGCTCATCACGATATACTTTCTCGTGCGCACAAGAAAGTTACCGGTTCGACCAAGTAGGAAGTGGAGCTGTGCCTTTTACGCACCGCCTTCGAACTGCCCGATTATTATGCCTTATTATTAGTTTTATGAAGGAGATGTCCGGTCACCAGGGTGTGTGTGTGTGTGTGTATGTGTGTGATACTGGCATTTGTTTTCAGAAGATATTATGATAGTGTCGTTCGTTCCGGTGCACTGCGACAGCACTGAGCACTACATCGAGATTAAGATTAAACACATTTATTTCATTTGGGAACACACATATACCCATGGAATTGGCCAGATGTGTGTAAATTACTGTTCATGGTCATTTGAAAACAAATGCCGGTGTCGGACACACCGAACACACACACACACACACACACACACACACACACACACACACACACACACACACACACACTTCGTGCGCCTTGGTGACCGGACATCTCCTTCATAAAACGAGTAATAGGGGGAATAATCGGGCAGTGTGATGTGTGTGTAGAGGTGTGTGTGGTTAAAACGTAGCAGCATGCAGTCGTTCTTTAGCTGTTCTAATGAAGGTAAACACAGCGAAGGCGGTGCGTAAAAGGCACAGCTCCACTTCCTACTTGGCGAACCGGTAACTTTCTTGTGCGCACGAGAAAGTATATCGTGATGAGCAAAACCGTGTCACTTGGCCCAGGTGGTTTCCACAAAATGGACCAAACATGTTTAACGACCATAAACACACTTATACCGTCCATAGGTACCGGTGGTCTTTCCGCCAAAACAAACTTAAGTTTGTCTCAATCACTTGCACGTCACTTCCGGTATGATGGACATTCCCTTTCCGGTTTGATTCTCTAGTTTGTTAAAGTGTTTCGGCAAATGTTAAAGTGTTTCGGGACTTGTAAATTTGTCTCAGTTCTCATAAAAGTGTTTCGCTAATGTAATTTTTTCTTAATAAAATGTAATTTTGTTTTATAAAATGTAAATGTGTCTCTAGCTTTGTAAAAGTGTTTCGCATCTTGTTCATTTGTTTTTGTTAATGTTAAATAGTTTTTTCTTTGGTAAAAGTGTTTCACACTTTGTAATACTCGTTTGCACTTCTCAGTATGTAACCTATAGAGTTCCTCATTCTGTCTATTTGCAGAGATTTATACAGTATCTGGCTTCAAGGAACACACTGTTCAACCTCAGCAATTTTCTGGACAAAAGTGGCCTACAAGGTATGTTGCCAACACTGTACACACTATGCAACAATACACGTTTGAATATTTATTGATTGTGTCGTGACAATAATCATAACCCCTCACTTGTTTTGTTTTGAATGCAGGATATGATATGTCGACGTTCATCAGGAGGTGTAGCCGCTACCTGAACGAGAAGGCTGTGTCCTACAGACAAGTCGCTTTTGACTTCACTAAAGTGAAAAGAGGGTGAGAAGCTTTCCCTGTAACAGTCTGGGCTGTGTGTGATGTTGCCCCTGAGCCACAGAGCATCATCATGTTATGTTCCAGGAACGTGAAACCAGCAAGGAGATCAGCACAGGCAGGGCTGAGTGATACGCAAACAGAACATTGCAGTGGTTGTATTCCTTTAAAATACTTCATATCAATTTTGTTAAGAGTTGCAAAAGCTAAACAGATATCTTCTACAACTCCATTGAGGATGGGGGGTCCTGTCTTAAAGCCGAATACTGTTTATTTAGCATCTATTACTTTAGTTTTCACTCTGTCCTGTCAAACACAGCTCTTCACTAACACTCCTCATTATGCTCTATGACTCTAATGCAGCCATGTCCTCTTATGGCGCGTTTCCACTACAGTGCAGAGCACGGTTTAAGAGGGCTGTGACGTCAGCGGCCCGTCTTTGGTTGCGTTTCCACTTGGCCTAGTACCGGCCGGCGGGTCCTAATTCACAGTTTTTCTGGCCTCATAAAATCGTGGGTCTAGGGCCAGAGACAACGAGGCTGAGTATGCTAAACTAGAGAGAGAATCGCTGGCAAGGGGGCTACAACTACAACAAGATGGACATATTTGACCGTGATTTAATTGTAATACACGTTTCAAAATGATGCCGAAGTAACAACATACTGATACCGGTTAGTAAAAACCATGAATTAATGCTTTGTCAAGTCTGCAGACAGACGGCAGGGGAAAAACCTTTTAAAATGCTTGTTTTCTAAATGGAGATTGGCTAAGCTAACGCAGTATATGCTCCGACCGTCCACACTCACAACAACGGCCTATACAGACATAAATAAAGCAGCGACTGTATTCACCATGACACAGACAGTCTGTGGTTTGTACTTGTTTAACTTTTGTCTAGTTTCTGAACAGATATGAGGAGCTGTGAGCTCTGAGTGCTAACAGCTAACGGCTGTGTTGTTTTTCTGGGGTTCTCTGAAGATCACGTCACGGCTCCGCCTACACTGCGTTACTATAGATACTACCCCAGTTCCTAAACTGTAATGGAAATGCGCCATAAAGTGAGCCAGTCCTAACGAGGCCCAGCCATACCGAGCGGGGCCGAGCGAGGCCATGTAGTGGAAACGCGCCATTACAGTTCAAAATACTCAATTATCAAATCAGGTTTTCATTAGTAGGAACATGCTCGCAGATATCTGTATGAGCATTCCCTTTCTTTTCGTTGCACAGGTCTGATGGCGTGATGAGATCCATGAACACAGAGAAACTCCTCAAGACCATCCCAATAATCCAGAACCAGATGGATGTGTTACTCGATTTCAACGTGAGTGTCTAGTATTTGCTGCACAGGGTGGCATCTTTAATGTTTAGCTGACACTTAAAATGTGAATTTTGTGACGTAGTCTCAACGCCTCCGCCTCTCTTACAGGTCAATGCCAATGAACTGACAAATGGTGTTATCAACGCAGCCTTCATGCTTCTGTTCAAAGATGCCATCCGTCTGTTTGCAGCGTACAATGAAGGCATCATCAACCTCCTGGGTAAAACCCTGCTTTTGGGTTGGCATCAAATCAAATCAAATCAGGTTTTATTTATAAAGCACATTTAGCGATTTTTGGTCGAGCCAAAGTGCTGTACATGTAATAAAAACACATTACTACAAAACACAATAAACGACAATAAATTACAACAGATATAACTTAAAAAACAAAATAAGAATAAAACACACGGAATAGTCAGGAGTCGTGCTCCGCTCTGACTAGAAAGCCAGAGAGAAGAAGTGTGTTTTTAGTTTTGATTTAAAAACCCCTAGGGTCTGGGCCGACCTCACATGGAGGGGCAGAGTGTTCCAGAGCCTAGGGCCAGCTGCTGCGAAGGCTCGGTGCCCTCGGGTTTTTAGCCTGGTCTTGGGCACTACCAGCAGCAGCTGGTCAGCAGACCTTAAAGCTCTGGCTGGGGTGTAGCGCTGGAGGAGTTCGGTTATATAGGCCGGAGCCAGCCCATTTAGGGCTTTAAAAACAAATAAAAGGATTTTAAAATCAATTCTGAACCGAACTGGAAGCCAGTGTAGTGAGGCCAGAATAGGGGTGATGTGGTCACGCTTTTTGTGACCAGTCAGCAAACGTGCAGCAGCGTTTTGGACTAGCTGTAAGCGTTTGATTGAGGCCTGGTCCATACCCACATACAGAGCTTTACAATAGTCCAGTCTCGAGGTTACAAAGGCGTTAATAACCCTTTCTAAGTCTTTAAAAGATAAATACGACTTGGTTTTGGCCAATAGTCTTATTTTAAAAAAGCAGGATTTTACTACGGTGCTGACCTGCTTGTCAAATTTAAAAGTGCTGGTGAATGTCACTCCAAGGTTCATGACCGAGGGGAGGATGTTTTTTTTGATAGAGCCCAGAATATCAACCGGAGAGGCTGGAGGTTGCGGTCCAAAAAAGATGACCTCGGTCTTGCTCTCGTTGAGGTTGAGGAAGTTTTTGCTCAGCCAGGATTTTATCTCTGCTAAGCAGTCCATCAGCTGCTGTAATGAGTGTGTGACATTTGCTTTGAGAGGCAGATATATCTGTACATCGTCGGCGTAGCAGTGGAAGGGAATGTTATGTTTTGTGAGTATTGAACCTAGGGGCACTATGTACAGTAGAAAAAGGATGGGGCCCAGAATCGAGCCTTGGGGAACCCCACAGGTAAGAGGGGCTTTGGCAGAGGAGAAGGCACCTAGCTGTACCGAGAAGCTACGGTCTGTCAGGTAGGACCTGAACCATGCAAGGGCAGAGCCTGTGATGCCAGCAGACTGTTCAAGCCGTGACAGCAGGATGCTATGGTCCACAGTGTCAAAGGCAGCTGTCAGGTCTAACAGCACCAAGACAGCTGGGCTACCTGAGTCGGCGGCTAGGAGCAGATCATTAAAAACTCTTAAAAGGGCTGTTTCAGTGCTGTGCATGGGTTTGAAGCCAGACTGGCATGAATCATTCTGACTTTAGAATTCATACTAATATGAATATGCAGAAAGCTTTCCTTTCTCCTCTTTATCATGGGTAGCATCTACAGAGGCTAAACACCTTGGTTTCAACTTCTTGAAAGAAAATAATATTCAGTAGGCATAGTCTGCAAAACGTGAAACAGAAATGACTGCTATGCAGATATTTTTGCAGTTTGAGTAATGAACATATGATGGAACTTTAATATTCAAATATCAAAACAATCTATATACATACCAGATTAATTTCACAACCTTTTATCAATTCGGTGCTGCTGAGACGTGTTTGCTTGATGTATATAACTTAAGAGATACTGTACCCATAAGAAAATAAATTGTGTTTAGAAAATATAAACTTAAAAACCACAAAGTAACTGACTTAACAGAAATAAAAGAATTAATGATATTATTCCCATAATCTTTTTGTCGATCTTGTTAACAGAGAAATACTTTGACATGAAGAAAGTCCAGTGCAAAGAAGCACTTGACATCTACAAAAAATTCCTCACACGAATGACTAGAATCTCCGAGTTCCTCAAAGTAGCAGAGGTAAGTCAGGACTGCAGACCAGCCAATCAGGGAGCGTGCCACGCATCAGATTTCCCATCAAAGTCTGATGATCTTTTCTCTTCCTGCAGCAAGTCGGGATTGATCGAGGAGACATACCAGATCTGTCTCAGGTAAGCCTACATGCAAAACCTTTTTTTGGCATCTGTGCTGTTACTTTAAGTAATTTGCTTTAATTGAAAACGCTTCCTTTTTACTGGATTTTCTGAGCTAAAAAGTGGAGAATTGCCAGATTGTGGAATGATTTTATAATACATTTAGGCTGTGTATATATAATCTGACATGCCTGTATTTGCCTTGAAACTGCATACATTGGGTTTTTCAGTGGGAAATCATTATTGACTGATTTAAAGAAAGCTTCCTGTGTGCAGTAAAGACACTAAAGTCTCATTGAGTGAGTGATATATTAAACCTTCGGTCTACCAAATCACAAATAAACCTAACTGGCATAACACCCAAACTCTGTATGCAAGTCTCAGATTTGGAAAGGTAGAGAGCTTACATAATTATTGTCCAATCTAATAGTAGCTTATTAAGATGTAAACTGCTGTACTTTGTGAGTGTTATATTGAGACGGCATAAATAATGTTTTGGGCTTAAATGTGTGCTTTAGTGACCTCCATAATATGAACGCAGGAGATGTGGCTATGATTGTCCTTTCACAGCCTCCTCAACCCCCCCCCTGGCCTGACATGTTTTAACACCAGCTGTGCATGCTAGGCAGTCCATGCATGTTCTCCTTATTGCACTGACAAACAGCTTCCAACTCTCACCGTCTCCTGACCTTGCCAGGCACCTGCTGATCTGTTCTGTTGTTCGTTATGTATTCGGTAGAACTGTGTAACTTTAGCAGAAAAGCCACAATTGGAGAGCTTTCTTCTAAACATTTTCTTAATAATTTCTTGACTGTTGCCACCTTTTATTTTCTGTATTTTCCCTTCCTTCCTCTCTCCATTTTCAGTTTACAGTTGTTGTGAGTATACAAACCTTTTCTCTCTCTGTTTTGGGGAGTATCTGTGTTTGTGGACCCGTGGCAATAACTTTGCATGCTTTAGTGTTTTCTTTTTTAAAGGACATCTTGTATTAGGTTTTCCTTAGTTTTTGAAACCTAATGTGTTTGAATCACATTCACACTAGGCCCCCAGCAGCCTGCTTGATGCTCTGGAGCAGCACTTGGCCTCTCTAGAGGGAAAGAAAGTGAAGGACTCGACAGCAGCCAGCAGGTAGGTGTGCATCACTGAGTCACTGCTTTCTTCAGCAGCTTGATAGATGTTGACTTTGGATTGAGATGAAGAAAAGGTGAGATTTAACAATGCATGTGTGCAAGTCTCACATGCATTAAGGCTATGATATACTGGAGTTCTGTAACTTTTTTCTGTGTGTGTCCTTTGATTCAGGGCTAGCACACTCTCCAATGCCGTCTCCTCCCTGGCCAACACCGGCATATCTTTCACCAGAGCGGATGAGAGGGAGAAGCAGGCCGCCCTGGACGAAGAGCAGAGTCGCCTTCAAGCACTCAAAGTAAGCTCTCCTCACTCTGCTCTTCTTTCAGATCAGTGCTCACAAGGCCTGCAGGCATTTGCTGTACCTTGAAGTTGAAGCAGTTGTGCCATTCATGTCTTTAGGACTCTCTTCTCGTAATTATATCAAATGCAAAGCCATAACGTATCTAATAGATTTGGAACAGTGGGGCGACCCCGTTGTTAAGTGACTGTGATTGTATATTAACCCCTTTGCTCTCTCTATTATCATTTCCGTTCATCTGTTCATCTGCTTTACAACTATAATCTGTCTAACCAGATAATAGTCCAAAGCAAAATGCTGAAAAATCTTTCGAAAGGTTTGGACTGTGTAGTTGCATACAGATCGGCCTCTGCCTCGCTCACACTGTCCTCCTGATGTTAGGAGCAGCGTCTGAAGGAGCTTCACAAAAACCCTGTGGCAGCAACCACAGACTCCTCCCCCGTCTTTGAGGAGGGCGGGACCATCAACTCAGCCCCTACAATCGACCTCTTTACCACCCCCAGCTCCAACAACAGGTAAGGACCCATCATCTCATCTTAGACCAGACAATCTCATGCAAATGTTTCAGAACTGCAGATAAAAGCTGAAAGGAGATCTAAGAAATGTGTTGTATTTAAGAGCATTAGTCAAGGTTTGGACATTTTACAAAATGTTGGTAGATTGATGTTGCTAATTGAATTTAGGATAACTTTAATTCAAGTAAATGGCTCATGTTTCAAAATGGTTTCACAAGATTAGATTCAACTTTGATCACTTCATAGATATTGGGGTGACCCCTAAAGGCCCGGACACACCAAGCCGATTTCGGCCGTCGATAGATGTCGATAGATGTCTGGCCGTCGATGAGCGTCCTGTCGCCCTACTTAGATTGGTGTGTCCCGCACCGTCGTGTCTTTTCGGCCGTGCCGACACCTTCCACCCCCGATTCAACATGTCGAATCGGGGAGCTGTCGGCAAAATAAATCACTCTGATTGGCTGTTCAGCTGCCTGTCAGTGTTATGATGTTGTATATAAATATAATCTTGGATTATAATTACTGATGCATGGAATGTGGTAGCAGCAGGTTGCCAGCCACAATGCTTGAATAGTTTCTTTCTGCTTCAGAGAGCTGAAGTTTGTATATATCACGCAGTCTGTCTTCCGGTTGCCTCTTTTGAATGACGAATACAAACTACTGCCGCCTGCTGGTAAGGAGAGTTATTGCCACTCACGCATGCGCAGTGCGTACGTGCTACTTGGCCGTCGGCTGAAGTCTTTGCGGTGTGTTCCAGTGCGACTGTTGGCCAAGACGCAGGAGACGTGAGGAGACGCAACAGTCGGGTCCATCGGGACGTGTTCTTTGGTGTCAGTTTGGTGTGTCTGGGCCTTAACACTAGATGAAGCACAATAAATGAAAAGTGGAAGTGTTTATGCAAATAGTGGCAAAATAACACTAGAATAGCATCGCTTAGGGCAAAACATGCAGTCGTGTTCTTTTTTATAATAGCAGACTTGAACCTAATGTTTTGTCAAAAAGTGACCAGTGTAACCCCCCCACTGTTCCTGTTTGTTTCTTCCAGCATCTCCAAGGCAGCTATTGAACTGCTCGACCTGCAGCCAGCGTTCCAGCCTTCACTGCCTCTCTCCACTACCAGCTCCTGGGGAGGTGAGGCCTTCAGACACACTGCCAACACACTGCGTATGGGTGTATGCCGCGTGCTAGCAGTCCCACGCATCTCTGAAATGTTTTGTGCAATTCACACATTCAGTTGTATGATTCCTTTAAAATGTATCTACCTTTTTTATAAAATGAATTATGAAGGTTTAAAGGATTATTATTCACAGGGCTGGGCTGATGACAGAGATGGAGTACTCGAGTCCTGGACTCGGACTCGAGTGCGAGTCCAGTACTCGAGTCTTGGACTCGGACTCGAGTCTTGGACTCGGACTCGAGTCGGACTCCAGTGTCGATTTTCGGGACTCGTGACTCGACTCGGACTCGCGCACTGGTTGACGTGACTCGGACTTGGACTCGTGAATTCTCGCGCACGATGACTTGGACTCGGACTCGGACTTGTGAATTCTGGCATACGATGACTTGGACTCGGACTCGTGAATTTTTCCCCCCACGATGACTCTGACTCGACTTGTACATTGACGCTCCGACTTGGACTCGGACTCGAGCAAGTTTTCTCTGGAGTCTGATGTCCTCTATCCTGGCGTGTGCACCTGCGAGGCGAGTTCACGTACTGGGTCCCGCTATTCCAGTCTAAAGATGTCTAGAGACACACCCTGCATCGTGCTGTATGCTTTCACACATTCTGCTTCCACATTGGAAAAGAGCAGCGCAAAATGCTCGTTATGTGGAAACAATATTGAAGAGAAGGCTCCGTAACACATTACTCTAAGGATCGAGTTCAGACATATAGGCTGTCTTGAACACTATCATCAGAGTAACGTGAAGCACATGGCTACTTAACATACAGAATGACGTCATTTTGCATGCTAAGTAGCCATGTGCTTTCTGGGGCTTAATCTTCATCAGTAAACCGATTTAACTGGTAAAAGTTCCTTCAAAATAAGAGTCCCGATCCTATTACTATCAAAATAAAAGTGCAAAACGAAAACTTTACCATAGGAAAAATATTGGCATACAAATATAATCACTTCTCTAAAAGGTAACTCATTTTAAACATAGTTAGACATATTATAGGTCATTTACAATAATAATAATAATAATATTAATATTAGTAATAAGCTTTATATTTGTAGAGCACCTATTACAAGAATTGTAGCCAAACTGGCTTCACAGCAGTTCAATAGACAGATTAGTATAACATGACAGGATAGAAGCAATGTAGAGGAGCAGCTACATTTCAACACATGTATCCACTAAGATTAATACATGAAGACTTGTGACTCGGACTTGACTTGGACTCTTCTTGGGTGACTCGGACTTGGACTCGGACTCGAACACAGGTAATGATGACTCGGACTCGGACTCGACTCGGACACTCCTTGGGTGACTCGGACTTGGACTCGGACTCGAACACAGGTGATGATGACTCGGACTCGACTCGGACACTCCTTGGGTGACTCGGACTTGGACTCGGATTCGAACACAGGTGATGATGACTCGGACTCGACTCGGACACTCCTTGGGTGACTCGGACTTGGACTCGGACTCGAACACAGGTGATGATGACTCGGACTCGACTCGGACACTCCTTGGGTGACTCGGACTCGGACTCGGACTCGACTACGACTCTCCCTTGGTGACTCGGACTTGGACTCGGACTCGAAGAGTGGTGACTCGAGAGTGACTTGGACTCTTGAATTGGTGACTTGACTACAACACTGGCTGATGAACAATGTCATGGTCAGTCATCATAAATAAAATAAGGCAGGTGCAGAATATTAAATATAAGTATTAGTTGCGGTTAGTTTAAATCGTCTTTGTTACGCGTTGGCCATATCTTTTAACTTTAGTTGGTGTTTTTCCCTTTGCTGTAAAACATCAACTACTAGCCCTGTAAACAAATGTCCTCTTCCTCATGCAAATGTGGGCTGAGAGCTGGAGCTGGCCAGACATTCACACACCTCGCCTGCAGACCTTCTTACATCGTCTCTATCAGGCACAGAACGTCATAAATGTGTAAATCAGTCACAGGATTCATATTCTCAGGCCATGCACAGTTTTTTAGTAGGTGTGTTCCACCATTCCATTTGCTTACAGCCAGTGGCGGCGCCAGAGCATTTTTGTTGGGTAATCTATGGTAGGGCTAACCCATACAGTGGTGGTGCTCAAGTCAGTATTTGCAATGTAATTACATACACGCTATATTACCCCCCTTGACAGTGAAACGCCACGCGTGAGGTTTAGATTATTTCCCTGTCTCAATCAAAATGGAACTGTATGAAATAAAACGGCACATTTGTCTTGTAGTAAATAAAAAGGGATCACTGTGAACGTGACGTATGATAGTACACGTTGAAGATCCAATGGGGATACTGAATGGCGGTTTCGATTGATCTCAATCAATAAGGCATGACGCAGATCCAACGTTTCGTTGCTCTGGCTGTAGGTCTATTCAAATTGCATTCGGAGGCATTTTGATCTGACCGCGGCCGCGCTGATATTATAACGCCAGAGAATTTCCACACCTTTAGTGTATAAAACTCCCCCACTACTTAGACTATTCCTTGCACCCCTCTTATAGCACAAGCCCGAATGGTCTCAACCATATTGCATCAGTAACGTGCACTTGTTGTTACAGCAGGATCAGTTTGTGTGCTGTGGACACGACCCGTATATTTTCGCAATCCGTGTTCTCAACATTTAGCATTTCGCTTATTATTTAATTGAATTTGCATCACTTTTCATGGTGGGGCTAAGGTGGGGCCAAGCCATTTCTTGGTATGGCTGTAGCCTACCCCAGCCATACCCTGGCGCCGCCACTGCTTACAGCAGCACACACTGAAACAACAATGTGCTTTTATTTGCATGTCGGAATCGAATATAAAACATAAACATTATAATGTGAAGATCAGTGCCTGCAGAGCACTTTGCTTGGCATTGTTGTATCAACGTTGAGCACATGATGGAATGTGTGACGAGTGCATCATTTGCATGTGAAACTGCTTCTATTTGGACTTTGCAATGTTTGGATTTTAATTAAGAAGTAAATATAACATTGACATTGTCCCAAAGGACAATGTTCAGCTGCAACCTGATATCATGATCTCATATCTCTCTCAGTTACAAGGGGACTGCAGTGTTGCCCTATAATTGAACATATAAGTGAGCAGATTAAAAGAGTAGTTTTAGATTAGCCACATAGTCCATACTCATGTACACCTCAAGTAACTTTTGTTATGAGTTGTTTTAAAGCTTTTACAAATAAGAGTTAAAGCACATTCTGATTTGTTGTTCGGCTGCCAGGTTAACATCTGGAATGTAATAGATCCAAGTCTAAAAGTTTCTTGGTCAATGGTTCTGACAATGCTCTACTGTATGTAATGTTTTAGCATATTATTGCCTTGTATTTCGTCACATAAAACTCAGCAAGATCCCCAAATCAATGCTTTTTCTGAATGCGAAAAACATTCCCTACAGCTATATTATTGTGCGCAGGGTCTTTCAGTTCTGATAATGAAGAGCCATGACCTCACAGCTGTAAATAAAGAGGGTAGAGGTACTGAGCTATGGGCCAATAAGAGCTGTGCATGATATCAGCCTGTTGCTGTATCTTTAAGAGCATTTGAATCCTTCTCACCAGCATCACTGGCTTTCCCCCCTGCACATTTTCTTGCATTCACTTTTTTTTTACTTCTACTTTTTAAAATTGTTCTCATCCTTCTCAACACCATCATTTCTCTGTTCCTTCTATGTTCTTGTCTTTCTTCCTCCCCCCCTCTACCCACTCTGATCCTGTCCCCTCTGCTGCAGAAGCTGTGGAGGACTCCATACTAAACTCAAACCCTTTCCTCACTATCGATGCTGTCCAGCTGTCCCCTGGCGTCCTCGGGGGTTCCCAAAGTGGGGGTCGCGAGACCCCGAGTGGGGGTTGCGAGATGATTACAAAATATTTTTTTATTAAAGGTGGGGTAGGTAATTTTGGAGAAACCAGCTCGAGTGCGCTAGCATTTGAAAATACACAGCCGGAAGAAATCTGCCACTTCCTTACAGAGCCCCTCCTCCAACACACACGAACGCGCACATGACCAATGAGGGCACGAGATAAGTTTGTGCACAGATGGAAGGCTGACAGGCAGGTAGGCCATCCAGTTATTTTAGCCGGGCCGGCTAAAATGATTGGTCGTGCTTTTTACAGTACTACGGCTTCCACAGATGATATTTTTTTATGGATTTTTTGTCAAAGCACTTCAGATATTCATTGCTATCGGGATGTTAAGAGCATTCCATGGAATATAACAAAAAGTGTATCTCGAGCCGGTTTCTCAAACTTACCTACCCCACCTTTAATTTAATAATAATTTTTTTTTGTTATCAATTTTTTTTTTTATTATTAATAATAACGTGTGCATAAACATTTTTCAGGGGCGGACTGGCCATCTGTATAATTTCCCCGCAGCGAGGCTCCCCCTGTTGACAATCCACTGCAGTGTTTCTCAAACTTTTTCATACCAAGGACCACTTAACCAATAATAAAAAACTTTTATGCAGCCCCAACAACAGCCTCTGATCATCAACAGACTTCATGCAATGCTTCATTGGATGCATATATTAGATAATAATCTGTATCTAACTCCTAACACATAAAAATCTACTTCCAGCATGGATAAATGTTCATAAAATACATCCATTGTTTGTTTTATACGCTTCTTGAAATCCTAAAAAACACATAGTTTTTCTAGAACAGATTACAAATCGCCTGAAAATGGTACAAACAAGTAGCAACATGTGTGACGAAGGTGTTGCGCTGGGCTATATCATGCAATCGAGAGTGAAACTTAAGCTTGCTCCATTGCGGAGATAGTCCCGCGGGGTCGCGGGCTGAAAAGTTTGGGAACCCCTGCTCTAAGACACCAAGCGATCATGTCTTTTTGCATCTGCACCTTTTCTTTTCTCTGTCTAGGTTTCATTTTGTGTCCAGACAACATGTCAGTACTTATGTAACCATTCTAATTTCTGATCCTGGCTGATGATTAGATCTTATTTGAAGTTATTTGAAATGTATTGTGTGAATACACAGATGAATATTTCAGAGCAGTAGGGAGAGAGAGTGAGGGAATGCCTAGTGGTGGTGTAGGGTCACTGTTCTCACATTCCCCCAGGATCTGGCATGCTGCCCAACACCACATATTAGTTTCCTCCCACAATCAGGCTAAGTTTCTAACGTTTATTTCCTCAGCCCTTTACTCTCTTAGATTAAGGCTGTTTGATCTTTTATTTGCTTTCTGTTTGTATATCAAAAGCCCCCCCTGTGATGTTGTGTGGTGACGAGCCTCTGTTGCTGCCCTTCAGTTTGCCCTGTATTTAGTGTAGCCATGTGCTGAGAGTCGCTTCCTCTGCTTTTCCTCTGCTCTTCCTCTGCTCTTCCTCTGCTCTTCCTCTGCTCTTCCTCTGCTCTTCCTCTGCTCTTCCTCTGCCCTTCCTCTGCTCTTCCTCTGTGCTTCCTCTGCTCTTCCTCTGCTCTTCCTCTGCCCTTCCTCTGCTCTTCCTCTGCTCTCCCTCTGCCCTTCCTCTGCTCTTCCTCTGCTCTTCTTCTGCCCTTCCTCTGTGTTTCCTCAGCTGCTCTTCCCCCGGTAGAATCCGTTCCCAAAGTTGCTCCTTGCTGCTCGCTCACTGCTCTACTTTCTGCCCTCATATCTTCTCCCATCTTCCTCCCTCTTCTTCCTCTGTGTTTTGCTGCCTGGCTGCTGTGGTTATGTGTCAGACTCCTTCTGTGGGCCAAGCCCTTACAACACCACTCCACTCTTCCAGTCTGAGCCCCCTGCTGTAGCTGGTCTCTTCAGAGGTACGTTTTCTCAGCTTCATTGAGCTGTTACAGGTCCCACTCAAAGATCCCTATTTATACACCTCACTGTTGATCTGTGTTGCACTTTTCTTAATCTCCTGGGCAATAACTTCAATGACATTAAAGCAGACATTTAGGCAAAGCTATAACTGAGTTTGATCAGAAACATCAGTGATCTGAAACATACATGGAACATGTCATGTTTTGGTGTGATTTAAAAAAAGGATTGGCCATCAAAAATATTTGAAAGCCGAAGGGAATGTCTTGTTCTGTCATTTAAAAAATCATAATAAAGATATCATAAATGTTTCTATCGTATGTATTAGTTATTCACTGAAAATAATATACAAGGCAGGTAGAGGGACATATATGGGGCATTCTACCAAATTAGTACAAAGATCGGTCCCACAACAAGAAACACTATTCAACAAAACAATGAAGTATTCAGACATAGATATTTACTAAGAATATGTTATGGTCTATTTAAACACAAGGCATTAAATTAGATAGTGATAAGCTTAATATATACAAAAACATCATTTATAGGGTACTTTCTATTGGGAAGTAGCTGTCCCCAACATCTACATTTCATGTTCTGTAAATAACACTTAAAACATTTTATTTAATTTTGTTCAATGATGTATTTAGAAGATCTTTATGATTACATTCAAACAGAAGTTGGAATATTTAGATTTATTGTGGGTATCATTTTTTAATAAAAAAACTATACTCAAAAAATCATGTCCCCAGTTTTCAGGTCACTACCGAAACACAAGGGGTTTTAGTCCAATGGCTGAGCCTGGTTTTTAGCCACACCCCTGCATTTTTGACAAGGCAGTGACACTGCATCCCTGTCCCTCATGGCTGAATGGCAAGTAGCTATATCCCATACTCAAAATCTGAAAATCAGCGTGTAACCTTAAGAATTGTCACTACCGAACACATATTATCTTCAATTAAGTAAACTTTTTCGGGGTTTAATGCAAAGTATTAGGTTTTTATGTGTGTAAACCTCTTCAAAAACGTGTATTCTAGCCATATACTTGCTAGCATTCTTTAGTTTTGCTCAATTGTAGCTAGAATCGTCACTACCGAAACATATGCTTAAAGGGGACCTATCATGCAAAATGCACTTTTGTACGTCTTTTATACATGAATATGTGTCCCCGGTGTTCCAGGGAACTCACCAAGTGTCAGAAAACACAACCCTCTCTATTTTCCTCCATACCCAAATCTCTAAAAAAAGGGGCTGCAACGGATCTGATAAAAACTGATCCAGATTTGAACACTGTCCTGACGTCAGGACAGTGGCGCTACGGCTATTGGGCCAACTCCACCAATCAGGAGGAGACAGCCACCGCCATTGCCGTTCAAAAGCGCTGGAGACGCTGTAGTACATATGCCAGGCCAGTAGATGGTGCTGTTCTCACAGAATCAGCCCTTGCAAAAACAGGGGTTTAAAAGTGCAAATTGAGCGAAATGAGGCATGGCTAAAATGCATGATCTGTTTGGTATTTTGAAAAAAAAAAAGTATAAATATGCCTTATATAGGTATGGTCCTACACTATATTATTATAATATAGCATGATAGGTCCACTTTAAGTTTCGGTAATTGACATGATCGTTTCGGTAGTGACAAAATGGAATGGTAAGCAGGTAAATCCCATAGTTTTGAAATAAATGTGTTTTTAAAGTCTGAAAATCAGTGTGTTACTTTAAAGGTCTCTTATTATACTATTTTTAGGCATATATTATAGGTCTCAGATATATAAAAAAACATGTCTATGAAGTGTTTTGCTCAAAATACCAAACAGATCATGCATTCTAGCCTCATTCCCCTCTATTTCAGCCTGTTACTAAAGTGCTGATTCTGGGTCAGTAGCTTCAAACATTCACACTTCAACATAAGGCATGTTATGAGTTAAGATTAAGCAATAAGGTTGAGGGAATATGATACAACCTTGAGAACAAAATACTGTGGTCACTACCGAAACAGTGGATGTTTTGTAAAAAATTAAGTATATTGAGTTATCAACTAAAATGATATGACACTGATTGTTGAAATTGAACATACATTAAACCAATCAACTCTGGAATCAATATGATCAGTATTATGCATTTTACAAAGAAAGTTTGCATTATGATTTTTATGAATTGTATAAATTGAACTTTGAAATTTGATTAAAAATTCACTTTTATTAATTTAATTGTGAAAACCCTCAAGAAATATTTGTTAAAATACTATTTAGAGAAGGGAAGGTAAAACAATCTTAACTGGTTAATATAATACTTTTTTACTACTGTGTACTATGTTTCGGTATTGACCATTTTTGGTAGAGGAAGAACATTCCAATACACTCTGAAAATATGATATAAAAATGTACGGTTCTTTTACTAGATATGTGTAATTTAGATATGGTACAAAATATATATGGACAAAGTTTTGGGAAAAAAACATACAGAATTTCAAAACATTTCCAACCTGACTTTGGTCCAATTTGGTAGAATGGCCCATATAGTACTTGAGTGATTTAAACATCATAAGTGCTGGTAAAATGCAAAACACAGTCCTGAACCTTTGTGTCGTCTGTCACCTATAAGAAGTAGTCGTGCAGCGATACCTAAGATATGCAGATCTTACCACTGACCTTGACCTGTGGTCTTTGTGAAATAGATTTTTGCATTATGGTAGCATTTTATATTTCATTTAATATTTCATCAACAGCAAGTGATGGTTTTATGAAAGCATGATGATGCCTTCAGGGCATCGGGACATTGATCAGTCATCAATGTCGGTGTATTCGTATGCTGAAGCATAACAACACAGACAAATTGTCAGAATGACATGACGTGTTTTCTTTCAAAAATGGCAATGTGAACCTATGAACCACCAAATAGTTGTTGTTTTTCTACTTGCTTTTGGTGGTGTTGGGAGGAACAGAGCTATTGTGTGTCCATATTTGGATAATGGCAGTTGCATGTATTTTTGCTTCTGCAGGGTTTACAGCCTCCCCAACAGCCCAGCAGCAACAGAACCCTCAGGGCCTTAGCGTGGACTTTGACTCCGTGTTTGGCAACAACACTATTGCTAACGACCTGGATTCTACAGGTAAGTGTTGTGCTCCTACATACTCTTATATTCTTGCAATGCCCTTTGTGTGCCACTAGACCTCATGTACTCTACTGCCCCCTGAAGGTTTGGGGACAAAATGGATCATGTTGAGACTATAAAATCAAAGTGCTGCACTTTTTTGTCACTTTGTATGGTGACAATGGATGTTCAGAGCATATTCCAAATGTTTCACTGATCAGGCCTTTTGACTAATTATAAACGTGGCTTGCCCAATTATTCTTAGTTAACGTGCTAAGAATTGCATGTGAACATGATATACTGTACAATTAACCCCGACTGATTAAGCAACAGCATTTTACACAAAGGTTAAATGAGAGCTTCCTAATGTCAGAAATACATTTTGTGAGCATAACATTGATTTTATGCTCTTGCAGAACATAACCATAATGACTGGACTGAAAGTGGCACACTTTGGAAATATCTTGCCATCACAGACAGCGTTTATTGAAATAAGTTGATAGTTGATTGATAGTATGCAGAGACCAAACTAAATGCATCGCTTTGGGGAGTGCCACCCGTTCCTGAGAGCGCTATTGTGCATGATTAGTAACAAAAACAGAACCAAAAATAGTCTTCTTTATCCGAACCCGTATCAGCCATTTTGGATTAAGATCTTAATTGGAACCACATTTTGGTTAGGGTTAGTACCTCCACTCTCCATACCTCCACTATCTTTACCTCCACTATCTTTACCTCCACTATCTTTACCTCCACTCTCCATACCTCCACTATCTTTACCTCCACTCTCCATACCTCCACTATCTTTACCTCCACTCTCCATACCTCCACTATCTTTACCTCCACTCTCCATACCTCCACTATCTTTACCTCCACTCTCCATACCTCCACTATCTTTACCTCCACTCTCCATACCTCCACTATCTTTACCTCCACTCTCCATACCTCCACTCTCCATACCTCCACTCTCCATACCTCCACTCTCCATACCTCCACTATCTTTATCTCCACTCTCCATACCTCCACTCTCTATACCTCCACTCTCCATACCTCCACTCTCCATACCTCCACTCTCCATACCTCCACTCTCCCATACCTCCACTCTCCATACCTCCACTCTCCATACCTCCACTCTCCATACCTCCACTCTCCATACCTCCACTCTCCATACCTCCACTCTCCATACCTCCACTCTCCATACCTCCACTCTCCATACCTCCCTCCATACCTCCACTCTCCATACCTCCACTCTCTATACTGTACCTCCAGTCTCTATACCTCCCTCTATACCTCCGCTCTCCATACCTCCGCTCTCCATACCTCCGCTCTCCATACCTCCGCTCTCCATACCTCCGCTCTCCATACCTCCGCTCTCCATACCTCCGCTCTCCATACCTCTGCTCTCTATACCTCCGCTCTCTATACCTCCACTCTCTATACCTCCGCTCTCTATACCTCCGCTCTCCATATCTCCGCTCTCCATACCTCCGCTCTCTATACTGTACCTCCGCTCTCTATACCTCCGCTCTCCATACCTCCGCTCTCCATACCTCCGCTCTCCATACCTCCGCTCTCTATACTGTACCTCCGCTCTCTATACCTCCGCTCTCTATACCTCCACTCTCTATACCTCATTTCGGTCCAGCAAGTTGTGCTATCTGGCAGTGATACATCTCAGGAACCTGTCAGAGGAGCGGTGACTGAAACCCTTACGTCAGGCCCGGTGTGGGATTATCAACAGAAGAGCCCGTACTGGGAACACTGGTAGCCTGTAGGCCTCCCTGCTGCATCTAAACCTATGTGCCACTGAGTCAGATTTTTTTAAAGAAATCACATTTGATAAATTCATTTTGATGAACATAATCCCTTGATTGTGATTGACATTTAACCCTTTCTTTGATAATTGTACAAACAAATACTCATCAATAATTTGACAGATAAATGCTACATGTTTGCACCTGGAAAGTCTTCACACCCATGGTTTGTACACTGACTGGGTTAGGCTGCTCACGGTCTCACATTATTGTTTTCTCTCCTCCCTTGTCCTGGGTCACACACTCTCTGGGCTCTTGGCTTTTTGCATGGCATATGCATGACTGGGTGAGTTGACTCAACACACACTCCCTACACAGTCTTGGCTTGATGACTTTTTTCTGTGAGCCCCTCTTCCTGCCTCCTCCAATGCTAAACATGTTGTGTGTGTGTGTGTGTGTGTGTGTGTGTGTGTGTGTGTGTGTGTGTGTGTGTGTGTGTGTGTGTGTGTGTGTGTGTGGTGTGTGTGTGTGTGTGTGTGTGTGTGTGTGTGTGGTGTGTGTGTGTGTGTGTGTGTGTGTGTGTGTGTGTGTGTGTGTGTGTGTGTGTGTGTGTGTGTGTGTGTGTGTGTGTGTGTGTGTGTGTGTGTGTGTGTGTGTGTGTGTGTGTGTGTGTGTGTGTGTGTGTGTGTTGTGTGTGTGTGTGTGTGTGTGTGTGTGTGTGTGTGTGTGTGTGTGTGTGTGTGTGTGGTGTGTGGTGTGTGTGTGTGTGTGTGGTGTGTGTGTGTGTGTGTGTGCTGTGTGTGTGTGTGTGTGTGTGTGTGTGTGTGTGTGTGTGTGTGTGTGTGTGTGTGTGTGTGTGTGTGTGTGTGTGTGTGTGTGTGTGTGTGTGTGTGTGTGTGTGTGCCAGCCAACCTCTCACCCTCCCCTCCCTTTCTTCCCCTTTGTCCTGCCCCCTTTTGATTAAGATGTTTTAGGTGACCTCCTCAAACCCACAGTGGCGTCCTCACCCAACCAGGGCCTGACCCTGAACGGCCACAAACTTGTTTCCAACGACCTGGACTCGTCACTTGCAAATCTGGTTGGCAGTAAGTTCCCAATTTTATGCGACCATTTAATAAATACAACCAATCATTATTATAATACTATGAGGTATTTGTAAAGGCCACTATTATAGTATTATGCTGTGTTCACATCGGACGCGATGCGATTTTAGGGGGCGGCGCGATTACATGTAAAGTCAATGCAAAGACGCAGACAGACGCGAATTCGCTCCGGCGGTGCGATTGACGCGAATGCCGCGGCGCGATTGAAGGGGGCCGCGACAACCGCTCGAGTTAAATGTTTTCAACTCGAGCATCAAATTTGCGTGACGCGTTCGCGCGGTAGCCAATCAGCGGAGAGGATGTCAGCCTGAAGTTGAATCAGAAAACCAAAACATCAGCCGTTAGCTGTTAGCACTTTCAAACGTGTATTACAATTAAATCACGGTCAAATATGTTCATTTTGTTGTAGTTGGTATCTACCACAGTATTTACATGGAGATAAGCCCCGCCCCCTGGCCAGCGCGTCTTGTTTGAATGACGCAAATAAAAACAGCTGACAGCCGCGGTGAAACTCGAGAGATTAGAGCAATGCGAATATTCGCATCATCCTGTGTGAACGCAGCATTAGATCTGAAATTATAGTTGTGTATAACATAATTACCAAATATGTAGAATTTGCATTAACTACACAGAGTAAAAGTAAAATTAGATCAGTGTTTCTACCTTTTTTATGCTGTTTAAATCGGGTGTTTAGTTTTCACACTGCATCCATTCCTCTGCATCTGTCCTCTCTAGATCTGGGAATTAGCAATGGCACAGCAAAGAAGTAAGTGTGTGATATTCGAACGTTATAGTTTTGATACTGCCTATTAAACAGGACTAACAATCCTACTCGCTCTGTAGTGATCTTCACTGGAGTCAGCCTGGTGAGAAGAAGCTGACTGGTGGAAACAACTGGCAACCCAAATCCGCTCCTTCTACCACCTGGAACCCTGCAGCCATGGTAGGCTTTCACCTATATGCCTCTACAGTGTGTGGTTCTACCCCTAACTAGAAAACACTTGAGGCACACCAGGGAATAAATGTGTTCTTTCATCAGCGTTTAACACCGGTGGCTCTATGCTGTAAGTCCTAACTATGGCATCTACAGTTTTCTCATCTGAACCCGGAGAATGTCTGCAGAACCAGGTCCGGACGTTGTCTCAGACACGACACAGACTGGGGCACTGGCAAGTTTCTCAATAGTGCAATTTACAAGACATAAAAAAGTAAATATAAAAAACAACAATACAAATAGTGCAAGCTCATGTGTTAAATAGTGTTATGGCCTGGATGAAACTGTCCCCCGCCGTTATCAGCACAATCTGTAGTCTTACGGTTGAGGGCGGGGCAACTACCATACCAGGCCGTGATGCAGGCGGTCAGGATCCTCTCTATGGTGCACCTGTAGAAGGTCAGGATCCTCTCTATGGTGCACCTGTAGAAGGTCAGGATCCTCTCTATGGTGCACCTGTAGAAGGTCAGGATCCTCTCTATGGTGCACCTGTAGAAGGTCAGGATGCTCTCTATGGTGCACCTGTAGAAGGTGAGGATCCTCTCTATGGTGCACCTGTAGAAGGTCAGGATCCTCTCTATGGTGCATCTGTAGAAGTTGCTTTCAAGTCGTTGAGGCTGGTGGTTTTAGTCTTTTTGGGGACAGGAACGATGGTGGAGTGTTTGAAGCATGTGGGGACTACAGACTGCAGCAGGGACCTGTTGAAGATGTCTGTGAACACCTCTGCCAGCTGAACTGCACACACCCTGAGAACACGGCCAGGGATGCCATTTAACCCTTTTAAAAGGGTTTGTCTAAAACAAAAGGGCAGGGCTCCTTGGCCAGGCTGGCTGCTCGCTAACTGTACATAAAAGGAGTTCAGCTCATCTAGGAGAGACGCACACACAGACACTCCCCCAACACCACCCGCTGCCCCTTTGTAGTCGGTCATTGTTCTTAGCCCGTCAGACTCCACTTTGTCTCTGTATTGGCTCTTTGCACTGCTGATAGCTCTCCGGAGTGCGTACCTTGACTTCCTGTACTCATCAAAATCTCCACCTTACGTTTTCTGCTTGGCACATACCTCGCCGTTTATCCAGGGCTTCTGATTCGGGAATGTTTATACAGTAATCTTCGGTATTGCGTCATTGATGCATTTGCCAATGTAGCAGATGACCGCATCCGTGTGTGTATTGATGTTGTCGTCCTCAAACACACACCACTCCGTAGATTCAAAGCAGTCCTGCAGAGCTGAGTCTCCTCACTCCAGCGCTGTATGGTCTGTGTCACCGGTCTGTCGTGTTTGAGTTTCTGCCTGTAAGCACACAGCAGCAGCAGTGAGATGTGGTCTGAAGAATAAACATGGTCCAGTGTATTTCCACTGCACATCCGGCAGCTGATGTGCTGGTAGTATTCCGGCAGGACTTTCTTCATATTGGCGGAGTTAAAGTCCGAAGAGGCCCGTTTTCACTTTTCCTCAGTCTCACTAGCACTGCGGCCTGGGATCCCCGCTTTGATGTGTAGAAGTTCCTCTCTATATTGTATGGTAGAGTTGGCGTGGTCGGCTCGCATGTTGACAGGGCAGATCAAACCTTTCTGGAGCAGGGAGAATCCTTGGGGACGGGTGGTCTCCTGCTTCAGCTCCCAGCAGCCCATACCTTCTATCACAATGTTGTCTGAAACACAGATATTGTATTACTCAGCTAAACAACCCTGCGTTATTAATTATTGGGGTTTCCATGTTGCAGACAAGCTAAAGTACCTGAAACTTGCATTTAGCATCACCTCCCGGGCAGTGCCAGGATTTAAACCAGTGGAGTTTACCCAAGCAGCCCAGTACCTTTACCTGGCTCTGCTTGATTAAGCGGGTCAAATATATCAGCACGGTTAAAAAAAATGAAGTGCTTTGAGCGGTTAGTCAAATCATTCATCACCTCCTCCCTCCCTGACTCTCTGGACCCCCTGCAGTTTGCCTACAGAGCAAACAGGTCCACAGACGACGCCATAGACCTCACCCTCCACACTGCCCTCTCACACCTGGACCAGAGGAACACATATGTGAGAATGCTGTTCATTGATTACAGTTCAGCTTTCAACACCATTGTGCTCTCCAAGCTGGCCATCAAGCTCAGAGACCTGGGGCTCAACAGCGCCCTCTGTGACTGTATCCTGAACTTCCTGACGGGCAGACCCCAGGCAGTGCGGGTGGGAAACATCACATCCTCCACCCTGATCCTCAACACCGGTGCCCCTCAAGGCTGCGTGCTCAGCCCTCTCCTCTACTCTCTGTTCACTCACGACTGCGTGGCCACACACAGCTCCAACACCATCGTGAAGTTTGCTGATGACACGACCGTCATCGGCCAGATCACAGACGATGACGAGACGGCGTACAGAGAGGAGGTCGAAAACCTGACATCTTGGTGCCAGGATAACAACCTCCATCTCAACATCAGCAAAACAAAGGAGCTGATTGTGGACTACAGGAAGCAGCAGGGAGAGGGACACGCCCCCATCGCCATCAATGGGACTACGGTGGAGAGAGTCAGCAGCTTCAGGTTCCTTGGGGTCCACATCACTGAGGACCTGACATGGACTCTTCACACCACCACCATCACCAAGAAAGCTCGACAGCGGCTCTTCTTCCTCTGCAGGCTGAGGAGGTTCAAAATGGATTCCAGGATACTCTGCAACTTCTACAGGTGCACCATAGAGAGTATCCTCACTGGCAGCATGACGGCCTGGTACGGCAGCTGCACCGACCTCGATCGTAAGGCTTTACAGAGGGTGGTGAAAACTGCACAGAACATCACCAGGACGGAGCTGCCATCCATGGAGGACCTTTACTCCCAGCGGCTCAGGAAGAAATCACTACGGATTATCAAAGACCCCCATCACCCCAGCCACAAACTGTTCTTTCTGTTGCCGTCTGGCAGACGTTACCGCAGCATCCTGGCAAAGACAAGAAGATTCGGAGACAGTTTCTTCCCGCGGGCAGTGAGACTGTTAAACAATTGAACTGTTGAAACAATTCCATAACATTCATCTGCTACTTGGTAATATATATATATCTACTATCTAATACAGTGGTTCCCAAACGGTGTGCCGCGGCACACTGGTGTGCCGTGAGGCAAGTCCGGGTGTGCCGTGGGATTTTGTGACAACCATACGTTATTATTGCAATATACAACTACACAAAAATTATTATTTTTTAATTTACTATATCAGTACTTTGTATGCACTCATTTCATAATACAGAGGCAAACTCTATACCTAAAAACAATTCTTTAAAAAAAAATCCTCACAGAACCCCATATTTCGCTGTTAACGCAGTTGCAGGTGGGAATTATAAGACCGTGACACATCGAAGGCTGAAGGACAACATTAAAACAGAGAAACACGCAAGAAGGAAAATGGAGCGCTTTCTTGTGCGGAGCAAACCACCAACCACCAGTGCAGACTGCCGACAACCCACCACCGAAAGAAAAGAGGAAAAAAACTGTCAGCAGACAGTATCATGAAAGTCACCTGTCTTATGGCACTGCAGGCGAGCGGCAGATTTTCCCTACAAATAGACGAATCTACTGACATAAGTGGGGCTGCTCAACTTCTGGCAAACGTCAGATATGTTGATGCTGACTCTATCAAAGAGACGTTTTTCTTTTGCAAAGAAATGGAAAGCCATACTACGGGAGAAGAAATATTCAGGGTAACTAATAACTATTTAAAAGAGAACAGTCTGACCTGGAATATGTGCGTCAGTCTTTGCACAGATGGTGCAGCAAGCATGACGGGGAGAGTGAAAGGATTTATTGCTAAGGTGAGAGCACAAAACCCACATATCGTGACAAACCACTGCATTTTGCATAGAGAGGCATTAGTTTCCAAAACCATGCCCCCGGAGTTGACTGAGGTGCTGAATCAGGCTATGCAGATGTGTTGCTGCTTTGATGAAGCCTAATTTGATAAAGTTTCAAATTAATTTCTGAAATATTTCGTTAATAAATATTTCATGAGTAATATAGTTGTCTTTGTCACATTTTATTTGGCATTAGTAAATAATTATGCACATTTACAGATATTTTACATGATATGTGTGATAACACGTGTTATAAGGGCTATTTTGCACAATAGGTGTGCCTTGAGATTTTGTACTTGTCCTTTGGCGTGCCTTGGGCACAAAAAGTTTGGGAACCACTGATCTAATATATATCATTCCAATAACTTGTATATAGGCTCGTACTGCACTATTCCACTTTTGTTTTTCTCTCTCACTTATTTTAGAACTATTTTTCTTTTTGTATTACTTTACTATCTGTATTATTATGTTGCATTGTTGGAGAAGCCTGTGACATAAGATTTTCAATGACATAATTACTCTGTAGCTATGTTAGTTTGACAATAAAGAACCTTGAACCTGGGAACAGAAATACAGCACTCATGTTTTAGATGGTTACTATTGTTTTGATAGATTCCTGGTTATATCCTCCAGCCTTAACACCTGTCCAAACTGTAGCAATAAGTTCAGGTGAATTACCTTAGCAAAAGACAATAGTCAGTAAAAATCATTCATCCTCATTACCTAAATGGAACATTTACCAGCACAGCAAACTTCATCTTATGGGTTTAAGGGTTCATTTGATTATTTATTTCTACCTCAGCATTCTCTTAGAATTCCAGCAGGCTTTTGTCCTGAAGCTGCTGTGTTGTGCAGGTTGTACTCTGGCTCAGTCCTTCATGCTGGACTTTCTCATTCTGTAATGTTGGACAGATTTCTCCCATCCAGGTGGTAGCTGTAAAGTGTGAATGCAAAAAACTGACAAGGACCAACTGGCTGCCTTATACAACCAACTTGTCATCGTTTTGCCAAAAACCTGACAGATTCTGTTGACCAATGTAGACAAAATACGCTGTTGCATGTGTGAGGACTGTGACCACTAACATTCAGCATCCCCCCCTTCCCGCGTCCATTCGCGATGTCTCGCTGTCTCGCAGACCCCACGCAGCAAGCAGGAAGTGAACCCAGCTCACACTGTCCGCTCCTCGCAGCAGCGAGCCCCGCAACGTCCCCCCAACACGGCACCCAGACCCCACGCAGCATTCTCATCTGTTTGTCATTACTGGTGTCATTTTCTGGTTGCTAACAAACGCCATTGTAACACATAATCACTGATGTTCCGCTGTAACGGTGGTTGACCATAGTGGTAGACTCATCAGAGCATAGTGGGCTCACAGGGAGGGGGGGGGGGGCAGGAGCTCCAACAAGCCGTGTAGGACAGAGAGTGAATACACATACTATACAGAGATGCTGTATGAGAAACCAATGTGAGTTTGGAATATTGAACAATGTAAATCTATTCTAGTATACCTCAACAATGGAATTATGATCAGTAGAAATGGCCATGACATGGGACCTTTAAAGTGAGAATGTGAATACTTTGAAATTATACTTTAGTTATACTGCAGCCTCAATCCTAGTGATCATTGTAATGCAAACTTCCTGAGCATGAAGTGGAAACAGAATGAGAACACAGGAGAGCTGGAGCGTGATGGTAAACACTGAACATTTATTTTTAATGACGGCCGGAGGATTGACAAAGACGTGCTGCAGCCATGAGTTGACACAACGCTTGCCTAGCCGATTCTGAAGATCTCTCACCCAGTCCCTTGTATTTAGCTCTGAGAGAATAATCAACATTGTGCATAACAAGATAAAACAGGCAAAGCACTATAACTCCTCTAGGCAGGAATAGGGAGACAAAACAAAGGGGGCACAGCAGCCCAAGGTTGCAGGCCTGTGCTCAGTGAGGGCAGTACAGACTGATAAACTGGGTCAAAGTTATGGGGAAGATATTTCCCCAACAATCATAATGGACTCACACAGGGGGTATTGATGATGAAGATCAAAAAGTGTTCTCAGAAGCCAGAAAGAAAGAGTTTGTGACTTGATGGAAGCAGACACACAACTTCCATCAGCCATTAAAGGATAACCTGTTTGTGTGACTGAAATAAAACAAGCCTCATCACATGCTTATTGGCTGTGTGAGCGACGCCGAGTGAGATGCACCTGAACAGACCAAACATTGTGAGTGAGGAGAAGCTCTGAGGAAAGCTTGGTGCAATGAAGGAGCACTGTGATCTCTGTGATGGAAGCACCAGTTTTGGCAGCAGCGTCACGTCTGACTCACTTTTGCCTCCTGGCCAATGAATGAATAGTTAATGGAATGGATCCTCCCCGAGAGGCATCAGACAAATCTGGGTTTGTTATCACTGCAGGGGCTGTTGGCGAGGCACAGAAAACAGGGGGGGGTCTGTACTTTTCTCTCAAATCTCTTTCCACAAGGAGCACCTGCCAGTTACCGAATTCTCCCCCCAGGACTCAAACACTCTCCTGTCTGCTTTCCGTTCCCCCTCTGTCATTCTCTGGTCAAAATACTTCATGTGTTTGGGTCAAAGCTGAACACAAAATGTTTCTGGATATAAAATGATAACTTTGGTTAACATTTGGCATTATGTCATCAAACTACACAAATGTCTGTCAGGGTACGGCCGTACTACAGGGTTTCTGCAAAATCTTTGAGGTTTTTTGTGATGAACGTGTTGCCCTCTGTCTCTAAAACCATGTTGGTTTTAGGGTTTCTGTTGGATTCTGCGTCTCAACGCTGACTAAATGTCTTCTTTCCTGATCATCTAGTTTAGACGGACAGTGGTTTTGGTAGACTTGGAAGTGCCATAAACGTTCCACTTAGTGCTCTGAGCGTCTGTCGAGATTTTTTAATATTCTTTCCTGTTCCCACCTGATGTGCACCTTTTTTCTACTTGTCACAATCTTTTTGGAGCTCTTTTATGCCAATGCAGCTGTCTCTGTGTGAGACCTAACTGTAGGATATTAACTTATGGTTTGTAATCTTCTATTATTCCTGAAGTTGAAGTTGTGCTATAGTTAAGTATGTAGTTATAAAACAATTAGTTAAATAGGGTTAGATTATTAGATTAGTTGGACAAATACATAGATTCATTGCCTTTAATTCCTGTCTGGGGTTCAACATAATTCATAAAATGTTCAAAGGGGTGTATTAGTTTTCTATCCAGTGTAAATCCTCATATTGGCAATGGTATACTGCAATTGCCTTCCTTGAAGCTATTGAATGTTTTAAATGAAGCAGTGAAAAGCAGCTTGTGATTTGCTAAAAGGTCAGTCATGTGACTGCTCCAGTGAAAACATCCTCTGACTAATCAGAGCTGAAGTGGATGTTGAATATAAAATTATTAATATTGATGTTGCTGATGTATATATTTCCCCCAAAGTCTTCATCAGGACATATTCCTGAATAGATCACTTCTGGTTACTTTAACTAAATGTACATATACTAAAGTCTAAATGTGATAATTAATAATAATCTGAATATGAGCCGGGTATGACTGCCCTGATTCCTGTTCTGTGTGTCACCTCAGGCACCATCTGTCATGGCATTCCCTCCTACCACAACCACAGGCATGATGGCATATGGAATGGTAAGTCTGCTCTGGGACACACACGCACGCACGCACACACACACACACATACACACACGCACACCGCTCTGTAGCATAATTAACGTAAGCTTCAGTATTTTGGTGTTATTGTGAGGGAATAAGTGGGTATAAGCAGGAGTATTGAGACGGTAATGTGTTCACTGAATGACAGTGCGTCTCCTCCTGCACTCCAGCTGAACTGAAAGCCCTTTACACACGCTGTGATGTCATCACTGAACGCTTTGGTTTCCTTCACAGGCACAGCGTTAGAACCTTATTTTAGGAGGTGTTTGTTATTTTTGTGTCCAAGCTTTTTTCTTTTGTAATCCATCGGTGTGATATTATATTTTCTTCGTAAGCCTCCCCAAGTGAGCTCCATGATGATGACCCAGCCCACCATGATGTACTCCCAGCCTGGGATAAGGCCAGCCAACCCTTTTGGCCCCAACCCAGGTGCACAGGTAATGGATGTCCACACCTCCACTGCCCCCCCTTCCTCACATGAGCCACCCTGAACCACGTTAACCTTTGTAATACACCAACCTGTGTGGTTGTTCATTGTAAACTGAATGCAACAACGTGCATGCATGACATACACACACACACACAGTTTGATATTCTTATTATTGCTGTACACAGCGTCTGGAGCTCTTATGTTCTCTACACATTGCTTGTCTGGGTACTGGTTATGCATTTCTGGGTATAACAGTTTTTCTGTGATCCACACTTTTTTTTTTGTTCTTTCTTACTAGATGCAGTTTATGTAACCTGAAGGAGGAGGGGTTTTACCCCAAACCCATCTGAAGATGATTTAAAACAATGTCAACTATCCAAGCAAATGTGCAGTTTGCTTCTAAGGAATGTCTCTCTGAGAATAAAAAGCCCAACCAGACTTGATCAACTCACGGTGACTGGGAGCGGCGTCACAGTGGACATTGGCCCCGCCTAGTCCTGTGGAAGTCCTAGAAGAGAAGGAGCGTGCTGCCATTCAACACCATGTGGACAGCTTTCAGCCCTACTCTATCCTGGACTAAGAGAAACACAACAGCTTTCTGACACTGCTGTATGTACCTGGGGAAAACACTGAAGGTGGTTGTCACGGTAACACTGGGAGTTGTCTTTTTTTGTTCCTCTTTCTCCAGGTGAGCGAGGGAGAGTCACTTATTTTGATAATCAATCATGATTACCTACATAAAGCATCCCCACTTTAGGAAAACAAACTCCTTCAAGACATGTTCATGTATTGTTTGCAGTAGACATTCCGTATGTATTGTTTGTATTTATTTATGATTACCTACAGAGAAAATGACAAAAAAAGTAAGTGTAACTTGTCGCTGACCTCCAGGTGGAAGGCCTTCAGATTTATTCACAGGAATGATTGGATGTAGAATTGGATTTTGAGTGATTGAGATGATTTTTTGAAAAATAAGTTAATATAAAGTTTAAAGAGGCATTTTGCTGTTGGGTCACTAAATATTCTCTTCACCTGCCTTTTACAGTTATCTGTGGCTATGGGGGTCACACTGAGGATATGTATACCATTTTTTTTTTTTTGTATTCAATAAAACCATCATAACAATGGGGAAGATTTCTACAAAATTGTCGAGGGAACATATTTCCCACATCAGCAGCACTCGATTTTATGATTGAGGCAACATTGCATTGGAAAGGAATCTGCATTTATGCTTTTGACGCTTTTGGCATGCCATTTATTCTCACATTTAACAAGCTCCTGGCTGCCCTTTTCCAACATGAATGTGCAGGGTCCCTCTCATGCTCAGATCATGTTTCAATAGCAAGCACTGGGGCATTAAGACAATGTGGCGGCACCGGGAGGCTCAGGTCACACTGCTGACAGGGGGCAGAGAGGTTTAATGTTCAGCAGAATAGAGCACTGTTGATCGGTGCTTTGTGTAAATAAAACCTTTTCCTGCCAATCACATGACGGGCGAGTGCAGGTAACAAAGATGATCTGAACATAAAAGTGGTCCTTTATCCATAACTGAGCCTATTTGCTGCGTTGACCCTGCAGATTCTATTTTTGTTTGTTTGATTTTTTCCAATAAAGTGCAAGCGTCAACACTTCTTGACTGTTTTGTATATATTGAAAAAAAGGTATTGGGCACTTCACTCATTAGAAGTTAATTACAGTTGTTTCCTTGTCCGATGTCAGGGTCTAAGGACAGAGGGTGTCATATTCATATTCTGTGTAAATTCCCCTGGGACAAATGTAAAATGTGTCGTTGACTTTGTCATTTCCAATGGAAGGACTCACAAGCTGCTCTGTGAGGCCTGCCTTTTCCTCGTCCTGCGTTACCTGAACACATTTTTTTTTTATTGCCCTGTGCAAGGGTGTGCTGGGAAAATGTCATGACCTACACGTGCACAGTCCAAGCGCAACTGCCATCGAACATTGAGACGGGTATCTTGAAATATCCAGTAAATGTAGGGATTTTCTTTAGATCTGATTAAAGATTAAAATAATTGTGCTCTTTCAGCCTTTAGCTTAGTAAACACTTTTTCTTTGTGACAATTTGCTGCAAGTTGTTCAGGCAGGGGCTATTATTATGCTGATTGTGATGGGCCATGTCAGCTGATACATTTGTATTTGTGTTTACCATGGCCTGATACATGGATGGTAAATAGAATGCCTTTAAATAGTGCATCCCAAGTCACCATCCACACACTGGTGGCATCACTGTGATGATGAGCCATGAGCCGTGGATTCAGTGGGGCGAGTTCTTTTTGTTTCTGAAGTAAATGTAATCAATTACACATATTGACAATTCCGTGCCCTTGCACACCAGTTTGCAGTTTCAGTGTGTGTTTTTCACTTTGGTTCAGTTGACAAGATATTGAAAGATTATAACTTGTCAGCTCATAAGTGGAACGTTGTTTAAACAGGAATATTGCTGTTGTTCCCAACAAGGTAGACCACAAGCTAAAACAAATGTTTCTGAAGGTTTCAAAAACTAGGACAAATCACATTGGTCTCTGTGCGTTGCTGGCTCTCTGACAAGGTTAAGGCTCAGATACCCCAAATATGTTCTTTTCTCTGGGTACAAAGAAATGAACAGTCTATCATTTTAATGGTAGGTTTATTTTAACAGAGTAATATGAAAAAGAATATCCAGAAATGTACATAATATAAGAGATATACATTTATTTGCATTTAACTGTGGGAAATAAGTATTTCATCCCCTTGCAACCAACAAGAATTCTGGCTCCCACAGACCGGTCACGTAAGTCCCATCCCAAACAGTCCGCAGTTTGATGGAAATGTTGTCGTCAGGTATGTCCTGGTGGAGTTATGTTTCCGTAGAGCACGTTAAACTTCCCTCCAGATTTTCCTGCTGATTCTTTGCTAACACCGTTAGCTCGTTCCTTTTATTAGCCAGTGATCTTATGTTGCAGAAGATGAGACACAGCTTATATCTCCTTTTCTCCATTATCTCCCCCTTCTTACTCTCTCTGGTTCACCCAGTATCTTCTATGTTCTTCTCCAGATTTCCGTGGGGATAGCTGTTGTTCCGCTCATCATATCAGCCAGCTGTTCCCTGGTGTAAACAAGGCAGCTACTGTATATGCAAATCAGCATAAATTCAACAGGAAAAAGTTAACAAGAATCTCTCTCTATAATCATGTTCAGAGAGGGTGCAGCTTAAGAATTACTAAAATAAGTTACTAATAGAAAAAAAGGTAAGTAAGCTAAAAGTTGAAAATAGTACAAATCTGTCAGGAGCAACTGCAACAGGCTGCACTCCAATTGGTGCATGCATTCTATTATTGCAAAGATTAAGTATTACATTTACACAAAGTTGACGAACTTGGCAAAGATATCTTTAAAACAGCAGATTTCACTTGACTTTCAGCTCCATGGCGGTCCTACGTTCAGCGTAATCATGAAACATCTTTTGTTAAAATATCCTATCTTTCAAGATTTTCTTACAAAATTCCTTCAGAGACTAACACTATATTCAACTGATCATAGTTATTGAATTAGAAGGGTAGCATTACATGTGACTACTAAACTGACATGTTTTAAGTCAAGTTTGTAGAGTTTACCTTTAATGGCAACATTCAGTACTCCAGAGAAGGTGTGTTAACTCAGTGGTCAGGTGATATATGTGCTGCTCGACCCTGATGAGATTCATTCTGCTGCTAAACCCACAGGTGCATCTATAAACACACACACACACACACACACACACAGAGAAGGACCTTCATATAAAGCCACATCCTGCTTGGCAGAGCCTGGACAGCAGCATCAGAAGAGTCCTTGTGCTGCACTTCCCCTCAGTCTGGATGCAGCGGTAGAAAGATGCACTGTGTGTGTTTGTGTGGGACTCATGATAGAAGTAATTGGCAACTAAGTAAAAGCCTTACTGTTTAAGTGAGGCCTTGCAATCCACAGCCATCTTCAGGCTGTTGCACTTATCCTACCAATTCCTGATTTATAATGGCAAAATCATGTATTTATGTATCATTCTCAAAAGACCTGGACTCACACCCGACATCATGTCTAACTTCCGGACCATCTCAAATCTCCCCTTTCTGTCAAAAATACTTGAACGTGTCATTGCCTCACAACTTAAATCCCACTTCAGCTCCAATGACCTCTTTGAGACATTTCAATCCGGTTTCCGATCAAAACACAGCACCGACACAGCTCTTCTCAAAATCACAAACGACCTCCTCCTCTCCTCTGACTCCGGCAACCTGAACATCCTCATCCTCCTCGACCTCACCGCAGCATTCGACACCATCAACCACACCATCCTGCTGTCCCTCCTCGAATCATCACTCAACATCACCGACACTGCACTCTCCTGGCTGAAATCCTACCTCACCGACAGACATCAGTTTATCAACATCAACAACTGCACCTCCTCCACTGCTCCTCTGTCCCAAGGCGTCCCCCAGGGTTCGGTGCTTGGCCCCCTCCTCTTCATCCTCTACATGCTCCCCCTTGGCAAAATCATTTGTCGCCACAACCTTCAATTTCACTGCTATGCCGATGACATCCAACTTTATATCTCAACAAAAACCATCACCCCCACAACACACTCCACTCTCACCTCTCAGAAATAAAAGCATGGATGCAAACAAACTATCTCCAACTGAACAGTGCCAAATCAGACATCATCATCATCGGCCCCCCATCCCGTAAACCATCCACAGGGTTCTTACACCTTTTCCAAAGTCAAATTCAAGCACTTTTCAAGCATTTTCAAGGTGCATTTTCAAGCTTTTCAAGCATCTTACAGCTGTTGTAAATTACATATTTATATACACATACTTATACTCAAATGATTATTTCCCTACCTCACATTAAATCAGATGTTCTTTATGCTATAAACAACCAAATGTGTGTTTCATAATAGCATTCTAGATGAGGATGAAAAATGTATATCTTTAGAAAAGAAAACTAAGTTTAATATTTCAAAATGAGTGACCTATCTGTACGTAGACTGGGCATCCCATATAACCTGGCTGAGCCAATATAAAACAATCAGCCAAATAACTTTTCAATACATTATTGAGTACTATTTTTGAGGTACTTTTAGGTTGGCAGTAAACACAAGTCAGAGGTAAATGGTGTACTTTGACTCCACTACATGTATTTAATACCTTTAGTTACTTTACAGATGTGGATGAATGATGTGAAATATAATCAAGTGTTAAATCAGACTTTAGTTCCACCTGGAGTAAATTCACAAGCTACCCTGCAGTATACAAAGTCATTCAAACTAGCTGCACCTTTACCAGCTTTGAGAACACTTTCATGATCAATCATTATAAAACATATCAGATACAATTATTAGGGATGCTCCGATCGCCAATTTTGGAGCCGATCGCCGGAATCAGTATCGGCCGATGCCGATCCGATCGAGTGAGCTATGGGGATCTTCCATTTAAAGTGATGTTTAAAACTCAGTTAATGGGGCTCATTCACTGGCGCTTCCACAAACCAACCAACTTAATTATTACATTCAAATGAAGTACATTATTCAAGTTTACATTAACTTTGGATAATAACACGGGAGAAATGAGCGGAAGCGCTCTCTTTTCCTCTCTCCCCCTCTCTCTCTCTCCTGACAGCCCGTCAGTATCTCCTGCAGCTCACTGATCCAGTAATGAGCGACCCGACAGTGAAGAATAAATATATTTATAACTAGTTTAGCTTGTTCCAGAGGTAGATAAAATAGCTAAGTGTGTTAGGTCTAACTCTTAATGTGTGTTCTGCTCCGCTCACCGGTCCGTCACAGCGGGTGGAGCTGCAGGATTTCTGCTTCACACACACGTTGCATACCGCTATTTTATTGTCATTTTCGGACACTTAAAATACTGCCAGACTAGTGAAGCCATTTTGGCGAGCTTGTTTTGCCGCGCACAGAGAAAAGTGTCATGTATTTTACATGCAACGATAGCCTAATCTAAAATGCTCTGCGGCGTACCTTTCGTGTGGTGTGTCGCTCGTCAGCGCAGACTCTCGCATCGTTATTGTTGCACACTTTGCAGGAGGCTACTCTTGGGCTTCGCTTGACCCTCGTCTTAGCCATGGTTGTATTTGTCTTCTGCTAGCCAACGCTCGTTGAAACGGCAACCTCCTGGCATACTGTCATCTATCACTCTCATCAGAATGCCCAGGTCACACACGTAACAAAAACACTTGCCGGTCACGCGCATTGCGCGGGAAGGCCGGAGCGGAGCTGTTTTATGTAAAAGCGAAGCAATTAAGCGCGCTCCGACTTCTTTATTTTCTTTTAATCTAAAAAGCGAAGTAAAGCATTTACAATTTCAAGCACTTTATCCCAAATTCAAGCACCATTCCCAAAATTCAAGCACTTTTCAAACCTTGAAAACACCTCGTACAATTTCAAGCATTTTCAAGGATTTCCAGCACCCTGGGATCATCCAGAATGTCAACTTCACCATTGACAGCCACACTCTATCGCCCCACTCACATCCGCAACCTCGGAGTCATCTTCGACAGTCAGCTCAAATTCAATCCCCACATCAATCACATCACCAGGACTGCCTTTTTCCACCTCCAAAACATTGCCCGTCTCCGCCCATCACTC